TTCACTCAGAAAGGGAAAGGTCTATTGTAGAGGAGTGCAAATCCGATCTGAAACCGATCCGATTCGTTCGGACATCGGAACCAAAATATTCATTTCGGATCGGATTGATATAAAGTTGTTTCGTAGTCGAATCGGATCGGACTTCGATATCCGAAATAAAATGAATTAATTATCCAGCATTAATTATCCATGCATTTATCAAAGTATCATCGCGGTTGTCGCTGCACTATTCGTTTGATCAAGTTCGATTGAACGTCACTTTGTAAGCTTCTTGACATGTATTTCTTGCTTTTATATTTATTTGGTTAAATATTTCAACTTGAATGAGAAATTTATTTTATTTAAGAATTCTTCGGATCGAATCGGATTGGAATTCTTAGTTTCAAAACTCGCATCGGAACGGATTGAGATTAGACAATTCCAGATCGGATCGGATTTTAAACATTAGGCAATTGTCGGATTATAAACATCCGATCCGATGCACACCTCTAGCCTATTGTCGCCCCATGTGAGGTAATCCACGAGTTGTTTGGATCCCACTGCTAGGATTCCGGATCCTACTCCTTGGATTCCGGATTCCACATCTTGGATTCCGGATTCCGGAACTGTAGTGGATTCTGGATTCCAATTTATTATTTTGTGAATTGCAAAGCCAATAAATACACTTTCAGTTGTCAGTGCATCTGTTACTGTATATATTGTCAAATAAGTTTATTTGATAATAAAAGATTTAGCTTGAAATAAGTACATCAAAATTGTATATTGATATACTGTAGTGCAACCAACATTGTTTATGTTTCGCGGCAAGGCCCTCTTCAGAAACCTTTTTAAAAAGTTAATTGCGGCGTCAACGGTGTGAAAGGAAAACAATTTTTAACTTCTGGGAACTTATTTTTGGTTACCCCAAAATTCCACGTGCGTCTTGATTTACTTGCTCTTGACTTCTAGAAATGTCTAGCTAGGTTCTTATTTCACTAATTATGAATTATGATTGGTTGATTATTTCTGCACTATCTATCAACGAAGAGACATATGACGAGTAGCTTAGCCGGACAATAAATCTATGAGATAAATATACTATTTAATCTATATGTAAACTACCAAACTTTATTGTCCAGAAAATGCGTCACGGCTTTGCTACTCAGAAATTATTCTTGGCCACTGATACTGCATTTGTAATAGAAATATACTCAAAATTATCTAACGGAACATACTCTAAGTGGTGTTGTAACAATCCAGTGTTTGTATTAATCAGAGCATAGGATAAGTAGCAATTACTTTAATTACAATGTTTCGAAGTATAACCTTCTCTTTAGGTATTAAAAAAAGCAAGGCAACTGCATGTAAAGGTATGAAAACTATAACTTTAAACACTTTAAACTTTACAAACAACTACATATCTTAAAAACAAGAAGCTATACTTCGAAACGTTAACGTTGTTATTTTTACAATTAGTACTAACTAATCCTATGGCTTATTATGACTAAGCCTGTGGTTTGAAGCACGGGTGCCAGATGTGGTTAGTGGTTAGTGCGCCAGGGCCTTTATTAAGGATTTTCGCGTGGGGCATTTTTTGAAGGGACCTATTTTAGAGGTGGATAGCAATGGCTGAAGTCCGCTTGTATGGCCAACATACCACACATGAATAGGGGGATCTGGGTGCATACTCCCCCAGAAAATGTTCGAAATTTGAAGCTCGGAAATGCCATTTCCTGCATTCTGACCATCCAAATTTGCTCTAGAATTTATGCTAACTATACTTATATTTGAAATAAAAGAAGGAAAAAACACACAAAAAGTTTAAAAAAAATCATTTCTTAGTAAAGTAAAAAAATCATTACTTAGTGATAGACAAACGTAACAATTTAAATCAATTTATCGCTTCCTTTATTTAACACTATATCTGGGGGATATCTTGTCACGATGAGCTCTGTTTTCTGTGCATGTTCTTTACGCAATAAACGAGTCAGACACCACTTGGAATAATTATGGCAATGTGCGTATTGCATAACGCACATGCCGGTTTATTAATTTTGTAATCAATGACATATGTTTAACATAACAAATTATTAACCAAAGTTATTCATTAACAGTTAGCACAGAAAAGGTGGGGTAATAAAAACGCCCACAACTAACAGTAACAACTATAATAACTAATATACAAGTAGAATAGTCTTGCGTTCAGAAAAACGGGGAGGAGGGTGGGAAAAAACTTGACTTTAAAATACAGACGACTTTGCGCTACCAAAGCGAAGAGCAGAATGAACCTGATGCGCATTCTGCTATAGATATGTATCACCTCTCCCTTCCGTTTTCCTGCACGCATTACATTCATGTGATCAGAAAATTACGGGGAAAATACCCATGTGTCCCATGTCAAGTTTGTCTATTTATATATCCTAAGCTCAGGAAGCAATAAAATCTTCATTGGTATGCCAATAATTCCTTTATCGCTTCCTTTATTTAACACTATATCTGGGGGATATCTTGTCACGATGAGCTCTGTTTTCTGTGCATGTTCTTTACGCAATAAACGAGTCAGACACCACTTGGAATAATTA